CTTAAATAGAGTTACATAGAAATATCTAAAACTATGATATATAAAATTCCTATTATGAAAGAACTTTGTGATACAAATTAGTTGGAATATCGAAGATTTATATTAAAAGATATCATATTGATAATAAAAAGGATTTTAATCTCAATTTCCTTAACAATCACTGAAAGGATTTTTATACCCCAGACCACAGTGTGATATGTTATTTGTGTAGTTCCGATTTGGAGTTTAAGTCCCCTACATTTATAATGTACGCTTCAAAAAATAATAGTTGTAACCAGATATCAGATATACCCCAGAATACCTCTTCCAATGTTCATCAAGAATTGGATGGATATTTGCACACTCAACGGTTCCAATATATCGATTGCTCCGATATATAATTTTTATATCCTCCACCATACATATTATGGTGAGTATATTAGTCAGTCAGTCTTTTGTCAACGATCAACGATATCGTATAGCCCCCATAAAACGGCACCCCCACCCGATATTCGGTATTTAAGATGATTTCAGCCACATTTTTCAATGGAATTATCAGAACTTCTACACACGGAATTCTTTAACAGTAATTTGATTTGTCAATATAGGTCCACGATATCGTATATCACCCAAATAACGGTACCTCCCAATATTCGATATTATGATGATTGTAGCTAATTTTTTTTATTGAAATTGTCTGAAAATCGACACAAAGAATTCCTTCTAAGTACTTTACCCCATGAAAAAGAACTGTCTTTATAGGTTCACGATATCGTATACCCCCCATACAACGGTACATCCGATATTCGGTATTTTGATGATTTTAGCGACAGTATTCACCATAATTTTTTCAAATTTCTTGTTTCAAGTTTGCAGTGGATACTTTAAAATGTTCTATGCAGGTCCACGTCCACATAGCCCCATATTCGGAATTTTGACGATTTTAGAAAAAAAATTTCCGGTTTTTTTCAAATTTCGTTTATAAAGTTCCTAATAGGTGCTACCATCTATGATTGAAAATTTCTCATGTAGATCCATGACTTCTTATAGTCGCCATTATTCGGTATTTTGATGATTGTAGCAAAAGTTTTCAATTGAATCGCAGTAGTTCGGGAGAATTATATAAGGGTACCTCCTAATATTTGGTATTTTCATGATTTTAGCCCCTATTTAGAATGGAATTATCTGAAAATCCACACAAGAAGTTAATTCTGAATAATTTACCCTCTGAAATAGAACTGTCTATATGAGTCCACGATATCACATATCCCCCAAACAACGGTACCCCTGATATTCGGTATGTTGATGACGACAGTATTCACCTGATTTTTTCAAATTTCTTATTTAATGTTCGTAATGGGCACTTCAACCCTTGCCGGAATTTTTTCTACGCAGGTCCACGTCTTTGTATAGCCCAAATATATAGATTTTTATATAAAGGTTATTTTTTCGTCAGATTTTTTTTTAATTTTTCAAGTTCCTCCCCCATGATGGAGGGCAGAAAAACTTCTTCCCGGCCGAACTTAGCTGCTTTTTTAAATGGTTCAATATAATGCTTCTGGATGTAATATAGGTTTATTTTTGAATCTGAACCAATTTGATATGATACATAAATTTAAAATATAAATTTAAAATAATTTTAAGATTTTATCTGTGCAACAAATACAGGGTGAGATGAAAAAACTTCAACCAACTATAGACTGCTGTCATTTCTAAGTCACTCGTCCCACAGCCGTAAAAACTATTCCAGTGGCAGCTCATTATATTGTTTACAAGCGTACAAAAGCATTTTGGTGAACATTTTCCAGAAAAAAAATTAATCGTGATGAAATTCAAGCGTGATTGTGTGGTTTCTTTATATTTGGCTGGAGAACCACAAGGGGCTATCGTTAGAGCACTCCAGCATTTAAATGTGAATAAATCTTTTGTGTCTCGTACCATCGCTCGTTACCGTGATACTGGTAGTGTAGCCCGAAGTCAAGGAAGTGGACGGAAGAAAACAGCAACCTCAGCAGAAATGGTTCGAAAAGTAAAGAAGCGACTTGATCGAAACGTATCGCAGTGATCGAAAAATGGCTCGTGAGCTGAACTTATCGCAATATTCCATTCGGCAAATATTGAAAAATGAGCTCGGGGTAAAGCCATTGAAACTCGAAAAAGTGCAAACGTGAAGAACTTACACCCCAACAGAAAGGACTTGGCCGATAGTAGTGAACTGCCGAATTTGGTTTTCTCCCACAAGAATACATTCGTTGTCCAGCAGTTTGTAAAAAGAAAAACAAAATGATCGTGTCTACTTGCCAAAGATGTCAGCTGAGAATGTGCACCTTCGGTTGGCCACTAGAACTCAAGCAACGGCCATGGTCGCTCTCCGATCGTATTAATCGACCGTGACATCAGAATAAATGCCGAATATTATCGCGAAAATAACAAACAATAGCAAACATTTTGGACGCAGACCTTGGACATTTCAACAGGACTCAGCACCATCGCACTCAGCACGCGCCACCCAAGAATGGTTAAAAAAGAAGGTTCCTCGCTTCATTTCCAGCGTACAACGGCCACGAAAATCTCCATATAACAATCCGTTGGACTATTGGTTCTGGAGTATTTTGGAAAGCAATGTTGGTACTAAAAAATAATAAAGTGTTGATCACCTCAAGCAAGTGCTTCGCCGGGACTGGATCAAAATACCGCAGTGCAACATTCGGGTAGCATGTGACATTTTCATTGGCCGTTTGAAGGCCATAATTCGTGCCAAAGGTGACCAAATCGAACAAATCTAAACTTACTCTAAAATGTGATGCTTTTTCCGACATTTTTTGCTTTCACTCAAAAAATTTTTAAAAAATTTTACTTTGTTACAGTTTTTATATCTCACCCTGTATGTAGATCGTACTCTTCCAGGGGAACAACTTTAGTGGATTTTCAGACAATTTCCCATAAAAAATTGGCTATAATAATCAAAATACCGAATATCGGGTGGTACCATTATATGGGGGCAACGCGATATCGTGGACCGATATAGTACCTCTTTGAACTTGACCTGCCTGCAGACAATAGACTGATCTGTGCCAAATTTTAGCTTCCTATCTTCATTAATACAATTTAATTTCGACTCTAGCGTGATTACGACTGACGGACGAACGGACGGACAGGGCTAAATCAACTTAGAATTTTACGCTGATCAAGAATATATATACATTGTGAGGTTTAAAATTATCATTTCGATGAGTTACAAACAGAATGACGATATTTATATACCCTTCATATTATATATAGTGGAGGATATAAAAAAGCTGGATTTTGACAATCAATTCCTTAAAAGTCACTGAAGGGACCTATTTAATATAATACATAAATTTGAAATATAAATTGTTATGATTTCACCTATCCACCAAATTTAGGAGAATCAAGTCATTTCAATAGAGATTATGTCGATTAACTATGGATATACTTTATCACAATAACTTCTAAGTCATCTATACCAAATATACTCTTTAAGACGCCGAACCACAACGAAACGCGTCACAGAGTGGTGAGTATTTCAAATTTCGTTTCCAATGATAAATGAAGAACTTATACCATAAATATATGACAAGAATATATTTTTCGATTGGTTAAGTATGGATTATTCTCACATTAGCTTAGCTTCATATTACTCTCTATTAGAGAGAGTAATATTTTTAAAAAAGAAACTGACGAAGAGGATGCTTTTTCGGCTCTCTGATATGAGGACTTTGGTAAATAGCAAGCTCTTTAAGTATCGAGCATTCTCAAGTCATTGAGAATTATCCTGCCTACTTGTATTTTCTAAAATCCTTTAAAGGAATCTAAATCAATGTGACACGCAGTTACCAAAAAGTCGCTTTGGAATTTAATGGCTATTAGAATAATTTGTATTATAAAGTGTCAGAAATTATATTATTTAATACAATTTTGTAGTAGACCTATCAATATTTTGGAGAATTATACACCGTCCTCATCATCATCCATTATATATGAATAAAAAATAGGACGTTTAGTTTTTAGCTGCCTAATTTCTTTCGAGTGATTCTAATGGATGATGAGCATTCTGAGCCTTCAACTCTCGTTCACTACTACAATTTTAACCAATGTGTTTACCTTTGCAAATTTCGAAATCCAATAGAAAAAGAAGAATGCTATAATTTTGTCCAATAACTGTTACCAATAGCAGTTTGAATTTAATTTATTGATTAACATATATGTTTGCATGTATGTATGTGTGTTGTTGTATGTATGTATAATTTATTCCATGCTTTTAGGATTATTACTTGGTTTAGTGTTTTCATTCGGTTTTGAACAATTCATACATCTTTTGTTTCTTTTTTGTTTTTTTTTTTTTGTTTATAAACAATGATTAAGGGAATGATTTGTGTTGTTTTTAGCTTAAATTCATTTAGGCTGTTTTGTTTTTTTTTTTTTTTTATTTTTGTATATGTATATATATTTATTTATTATTTTCTTTTTTTAATATTTATTTTTTAATTTTCGCAATACATGAGACAATACACTGACAATAATCAATCAATCAATAATAATAATCATAATAATTTTGTTTATATGACAATCAATCAATAATATTAATAATAATTTATAGTCATGATAATACATAATGCCATAATGATACAAGAATAATAATTGTTTTTTTTTTTTTAATAATTTGTTTATAATATTACAATAATAATATGTGTTATGACAATTTTTACTAAGTTTAACATTTTCATTTTATTTTTTTTATGATTTTCATTTAGTTAAATTTAGGCTTATTTTGTATATTTCCTTTCAATTATATTATTTATTTAGTTTTTGTTTTCTTCTTTTTATTATTTTAAATATATAGATTAATATTATTTAATAATTTGTAAATATGTATAATTTTCCTTTTAATTTGTTTGTTTTTTGTTTTAATTTATTTAATATTTATTTATAATTTGTTTTTATATCAGTTGATTTATGTTTCTGTATGGATTTCTTGTGGATTTTTTCTTTACTGCTCTCTGGAATATGTATCAATCATTCATAATTTGTTTAAAAAACATAAACTTATTTTGTCTATTTTTTATTTGTTGTTGTTGATTTCTGAATACTCTATTTTGTTTGGTTGTTTTGTGAATTTGTTGTTGTTGTTGCTGCTGTTGTAAAACATAAACACAAGGAATCTAACAATTGCAGTTAGCATTGGGTGTGCCTTGAGGTTGATCGGTCAGTCTTTGGCCTTTCTGGCCTCCGCCCACTAACGTCGGATCAGCATCTAAACTTTCGGACATTTTGTCACATATAATGTCGACCAAACGTTCAAAAACAGCCTGTAAAAGATATAAAAACGAATTAATATACATATCCATGTTTAACCAGTAAGGAAAAGTAGTTGGAATTTAAGTGCAGTATATTATACCGACATTGCTGTATAGTGCATGATATGACTTCGATAAGAATTATATTAAAAAATATTTATTTTAGCAATACATAAATGGTAAAATTCCTCTGAATATGAAAAAAATATATTCAATTTGGGCTGATATAACAACAACAATAACCATAAAATCGGATGAAGATGTATATCGAAGCTACATAAAAATCTGAACCGATCTCGATAAAATTTCGCAGAGGTATTTTCGAGCAGTTTTTGATGCCCGGTATCAAATATCATTCTTCTGGAGTGCATATTACGAATGTGAGGGACTTAAACACCAAATCGGATGAAACATATATATATATATAGCTGTATATGAACCAATTTTCAGCAAATTTGGTGTTCTTGCTTCTAGAATGAATTCGGTTGAATGTGTGGTCATTTGCTGTACAATTAACCTGAAATCGGTTAAGGATATATAAGAGCTATATCTAAATTTGAACCGCTTTTCACCAATTTTAATGGGGTTCGTCCTTGGGCGAAGTACTAAGTAGCCAAATATTTAATATTGGGAGAACGGATATTGCATAAAATTTGAAATTTGGCATAAAGGTCACGGTTAGTGCGTAGGTTTGAGATTTGGAGGTTGTTTTTATAAATATGTACTTATTAAACACTATGCATCACAAATTACTAATATGACCTAAAAATAAAGTTATGTACTACTAAGTGACAGAATCCTAACATTTCGTCCTAATTGTGCAAGACATCAGATAGCGTGGTGTTTTTAATTTAGTACAACATGTACTCATAGTGTACTAAAAGTACTAAATGGTACCAACCTGAAAGATTATGAAAAGCCAAAGTCTGGATTTTTATTTGTGGCTATATTTATGATGAATTTAATGAAAGATACTTGTAACTAAGTTCGAAATTTATTAAAGGGTGTCAAATATTCCAACTTGGTTATATAGAACTAAACCCTGCATTTTTCATGTAACATGTCAAATTTTATGGTCTCAAGAGCCTTGGGAACACAGAAATAATTATGTATGAAAGGTACTAAACGGTACCGAATATTGCACCATTGATCCTGGACGATTATAAAAAAATCAAAGCCATATAGTTTTGTCTGTGACGAATTTTACAGCCCTGAGAGCCCTAAGACTTTTGATCTGAGTTGGTGCGAAAAGTACTGAATACTAAACTATATTAGTGCTATTTTCCGAAGAGTTTCAGACTTGGAGATTTAAAAAATATTTTCCAAAAGGACTCACTGGCGTGGATTTTATAAGGAATATTTTGAAAAGAACACTCAGATTTTGATTTTTTCAAAATATTTTTCAAGGGACACTCTAACGTGGATTTTTAAAGAAAATTTCCTTAGGGACCCATTGACGTAGATTTTTAAAGATAATTTCCTTTGGGACCCATTGACGTGGATTTTTAAAGAAAATTTCCTTAGGGACCCCTTGACGTAGATTTTTAAAGATAATTTCCTTTGGGACCCATTGACGTGGATTTTAAAAGAAAATATTTTCGCACAATTCTCCAACGTGGATTTCTTAAAGAGTGATTTCCGAAGAACACTCAGACGGTGATTTCTTAAAGAGTCATTTCCGAGGACGTGGATTTTTTAAATATATATAAAAAAAATAATATATTCCAAATGACACTCAGTCGTTGATTTGTTAAAAAAATATATTCCAAATGACACTCTGTCGTTGATTTTTTAAAGAACATTTTCCAAGAGTCACTCAGACGTGGGCTTTTAAAGAATATTTTCCAAAGGACACTCAGACATGAATTTTTAAAGAATATTTTCAAAAGAATACTCAGAAGTGAATTTTTAAAGAATATTTTCCGAAAGACACTTAGAGGCACTTTTTAAAAATTTCCGAAGGATCCATCAAAGTGGTGGAGTTTTCTACTGTGTTTTTCAAAAAAAATTATAATTCTTGCGAAGATTTGCCCATAGAGATTTTTAAACATCAAATTGCAGTGACTTCGGGTGTAAAATGTAGCCAGGACCTAAAATTGTTAGTAACTGATATATGAGGCCAATTTTAAAATGTGGACCGAAATACCGATTTTTTTTTTTTTTTTTTTTTTGAAAATGGGGCAAATCTAACAAATTTATGTGCAATAACAAAATGATCCCACTAATTTGTCTAAATCGAAATAGAATTTCACACTGGTCAAGCAAATATAGTCCCATACAACAACCAATAAATAGGATTAATATATCAATTATCACAATCCTATTTAGCACTCATTCAGTGGACACTCTAAAAGCCACTCCTGAGGGAAGCAATTGATGTGTCAATTTTAGTTCTATTTTCATACCCTCCACCATTCTATGGAGGGTATATTAACTTTGTCATTCTGTTTGTAACTCCTCGAAATGCTCATGTTGGATCCTAAAAAGTATATCTCTTCTGGATCTGCGTAAAATTCTAAGTCGATTTAGCGATGTCCGACTGTCTGTCTGTTGTAATCACTTTATCTTTCGAACGAATTTAGATAGAATGCTACAATTTTTTACACGTGTGTATTTTGCTAGTGGACATTTTTTTTTAATGTTTCAAGTTCCTTCCAAATTGTGGAGGATATTAAAAGTTTTTTCTATTTCCTTACCTTAACATTAACATTCTCTTTGGCCGATGTTTCGAAAAATTCTACTCCCAATTGATCGGCCAATTGTCGGCCACGCTCAAAGGAGATTACTCGCTGGTCTTCCATGTCGCATTTGTTGCCCACCAGAATGACTTGTGCGTTGTCCCACGAATAGGTTTTGATTTGAGTTACCCTAAATTCCATGGACAAAAAGGAGAGAAACAAATTTTAAAATTTCCATTCCTGAGATGGAGTTGACACCTCCTCCCATTGTTGTCTTACCAATCTTGTACAGAATTAAAACTGTCCTCATTTGTGACATCATACATCAAAATGAAACCCATGGCGCCACGATAATATGCTGTTGTTATTGTTCTATAACGCTCTTGGCCAGCAGTGTCCTGCGAAATGGAAAGAGAACAGGATTTTAAAGAAGAAATGCGAAAAAATACATTCCGTGAAGGCAACCACATCCACTCCTGACTCCCACTTACCCATATCTGCAGCTTAACCCGCTTGTCATGCCGAAACACTGTTTTCACTTTAAAATCAATGCCAACCGTTGACACAAAGGCAGATGTAAAGCTGTCATCGGCATAGCGGAAGAGGAAACTTGTTTTGCCCACACTCGAATTGCCAATTATCAACAATTTGAACATATAATCGAAATTCTGATCGGAAGCGTCTTTTTGCCATTTTGGATCACCAGCACCAGCCATCTGAAAAGAGGGAGAGAGAAAAAAAGCTATTAAAAATAGGAAAACATCACAACATAGTTAATATTCAAGAAGTTTGCCATTTCAACATTTCTGTCACGTAGAGGAGATTAATGAAATCCCTGCTGTTTGTCAGCAGCTTCAAGTGTGCCTTGGGTTGCCTTCTTTCTTTTTAGGAGCAACAAATGATGATGATTTCATAACTTGTTTTGTTATTCAAAAAAATCTGGAAGGCATTCTTTTAGTTTTTTGTCATAAAATTTTTTACAATGGCAAAAAGGAATTCGACAATTGTTTTTCTATTTTCAGCTTAGATTTTTCTGCGGCAAGGATAATAAAATTCGCTGTTTCGTCCTTTTGAAACTCTCAGAGAAAGACCTCAGACCTGTTTTTTTAAAGAATATTTTATTTTATTTCTTTAATTGTTTAAAAAGTATATTTAATGTACCTCAGAGTCACAAACATGGATTTTTTGTAAAAACAACTTTTTAAGGATATTTTCTGAAAGACTCTCAGACGTGGATTTTTTAAATGTATTTTTGAAGGACTCTCAAATGTGGATTTTTTGAAGAATATGTTCTGAAGGACTCTCAAATGTGGATTTTTAGAAAAATATGTTCTGAAGGTCTCTCAGACGTGGATTTTTCAAAGAAAATTTATTGAAAGGCTCTCAGACGTGGATTTTTTAAAGAACATTTCTCGAAGGACTCTCAGACGTGGATTTTTCAAAGAAAATTTCTTGAAGAACTCTCAGACGTGGATTTTTCAAAGAAAATTTCTTGAAGGACTCTCAGACGTGGATTTTTCAAAGAAAATTTCTTGAAGATCTCTCAGACGTGGATTTTTCAAAGAAAATTCCTTGAAGGACTCTCAGACGTGAAAATCTCAAAAAAAAATTTTTCTTGAAGGACTCTCAGACGTGAAAATCTCAAAAAAAATTTTCTTTAAGGACTCTCAGACGTGGATTTTTCAAAGAAAATTTCTTGAAGGACTCTCAGACGTGGTTTTTTCAAAGAAAATTTCTTGAAGGACTCTCAGACGTGAAAATCTCAAAAAAAAAATTTTCTTGAAGGACTCTCAGACGTTGATTTTTAAAGAAAATTTTTTTGAAGGACTCTCAGACGTAGGTTTTTGAAAGAAAAAATTTTTGAATTACTCTCAGACGTGGATTTTTCAAAGAAAATTTCTTGAAGGACTCTCAGACGTGGATTTTTCAAAGAAAATTTCTTGAAGGACTCTCAGACGTGGATTTTTCAAAGAAAGTTTCTTGAAGGACTCTCAGACGTGGATTTTTCAAAGAAAATTTCTTGAAGGACTCTCAGACGTGGATTTTTCAAAGAAAATTTCTTGAAGGACTCTCAGACGTGGATTTTTCAAAGAAAATTTCTTGAAGGACTCTCAGACGTGGATTTTTCAAAGAAAATTTCTTGAAGGACTCTCAGACGTGGATTTTTCAAAGAAAATTTCTTGAAGGACTCTCAGACGTGGATTTTTCAAAGAAAATTTCTTGAAGGACTCTCAGACGTGGATTTTTCAAAGAAAATTTCTTGAAGGACTCTCAGACGTGGATTTTTCAAAGAAAATTTCTTGAAGGACTCTCAGACGTGGATTTTTCAAAGAAAATTTCTTGAAGGACTCTCAGACGTGGATTTTTCAAATAAAATTTCTTGAAGGACTCTCTGACGTGGATTTTTCAAAGAAAATTTCTTGAAGGACTCTCAGACGTGGATTTTTCAAAGAAAATTTTTTTGAGAATATTTTATGAAGGACTCTCACATTTGGAGGACTCTCAGACGTGAATTTTTCAAAGAATATTTTCTGAAGGAATCTCACATTTGGAGGACTCTCAGACGTGGATTTTTCAAAGAAAATTTTCTGAAGGACTCTCAGACATGGATTTTTCAAAGAATGTTTTTTTAAGGACTCCCAGCATTTGGAAGACCCTCAGACGTGGATTTTTCGAAGAAAATTTCTTGAAGGACTCTCAGACATGGATTTTTCAAAGAATATTTTCTGAAGAGCATTTGGATTTTTCAAAGAATAGTTTCTGAAGGACTCCCACTTTTTGAGGACTCTCTGAAGTGGATTTTTCAAAGAATATTTTCTAAAGAGCATTTGGAGTTTTCAAAGGAATCCCACATTTGGAGGACTCTCTGAGATGGATTTTTCAAAGAAAAATTTCAAAAGGACTCTCAGAGACATTAACACTGGCATTTTTTTTTTTTAAATTTATGGATTTTTTTCTCGGAAAGACTATCAAAGTCTTAACCGAGTGTTTTTTGATGGACTCGGAGGGACTTAAATGGCCCTCTAAGTTTTTAAGTACTCTGAGGACCATATACGAGGAGTTTTTAAGATTATTTTCTCAAGGACTAGCAAAGTCTTCAACGTGGATTTCTAAAAAAAGTTTTTGAAGAACTCACAGGCTTTTAAAGTATATTTCTCAGGGACTTTAAGTGCCAAAAATAATATTTTCTAAAGGACTTTCACTGCCATAAAATTAAATGTCTTCAAAGAAGATTTTAAAGGACTTTTGAGCCGGCCTTCAGTTTGGACTTTTTAAGATCATTGTCCAAAGGACACTGAGAATCATAAGCGTTGATTTTCTAAAGGATTCTCGGAACCACAAGCATAGATTTTTCTAAAGGCCTCTTACAATCATAAACTTAAACTTTTTTAAAAGACTCTAAAGCCATAAACGTAATTTGTTGAAGAATATATTTTGAAGGACTTTCGTAGCCTTCAATTTAGATTTAAAAAAATGCCCAAAGGACTCTTAGAGTCATAAGCCTAGATTTTTTAGAGGACTCTCCCAACCACAAACACGGATTTTTTTTAAGAATGTTTTCCAAAGGACCTTCAGTGCCTTACATGTGTATTTTATAAAGAAAGTTTTCCTAAGGACTCCCTCTCTCTCTCTCTTTGCCGTAAAAGTGGAGCTTTTTGAAGGACTCTCAAATTTTTTAAAAATTATTTTTGGAGGACCCCCAGAGCAACAAACGTGGAGTTTTAGAGAAGGTCCTCTGAAGTTTTAAAGAAGGATTCTAGAACCATAAACGCCAATTTTCAATTCAATTTTTGAAGGACTTTCAGATTTTTTAAAAATTATTTTTGAATGATCCACAATCGTGGAGTTTTAAAGAAGATTCTCTGAAGTTTTAAAGAAGGATCTCAGTAAAAGCTGGAGCTTTTTAAAGACTATTTTTTGAAGTACTGTCAAATTTAAAAAATATATATATTGAATTAAAGAAGTTTATTTAAAGAACTCGAAGAACCATAAACGTGGTTTTGTTACAGAAGATTTTTTTCGTGGTTTTATGAATATTTTCTTAGAGAGTTTTTAACAACTATTTTCCGAAGGACTCCTGAATCATTAATCGACTAGCGTGAAAGTAGCAAAACTTTTGCATTCATCATTGATATTAGGGTATCTACTTCCCAACCCAACGTCGACGGATATCGAGTTTTTGCAACAAATAATATAAGCGATCCTCACTAAACATGTTTAAAAGTAAAGAATGTCACAACTACAATAACAATAATTGTTGCATACTTTTGGGCTATTTTTAAAAATTTTAGAATCGAGCGAAAAGCTGTGATTGCAAAATCAAAAGTCGTTACGAAAATTCGACGATGTGATTTTTCCGATAATAGAAAGTAATTTTGGACTCTACAGTGCCAAAATTCGACTAATTGGAAGTCGATTTACTTATCTTTAGGGAGTCCTTTCCAGAAAATCTCTATTTTTTCGTTTCTCAAAATTCAATAACAAAATGGACACAATTGCATCATAGCCTCTGCACAACGTAAGGCGCATTTTGTCATCCACATTCTCAAGGACCCCCAGAGCCACAAACGCGGAGTCTTAAAGAAGGTTCTTTAAAGAACTCGAAGAACCATACACGTGGTTTTGTTACAGAAGATTTTCCGAAGGGCTCGATGAGCTATCAATTCGTGGGTTTAAAATATTTTCTTAGAGAGTTTTTAACAACTATTTTCCGAAGGACTCCTGAATCATTAATCGACAAGCGTGAAAGTAAGTCGTAAATATCAAAATATTATTTTCTAAATTAATTTAAGAGTTATAATCTTGAACTTCTAGGGAACATTCTGGGTAAACATGACCAAAACTTTTGCTTTCATCATCGATTTTCGTGTTTCTACTTCCCAACCCAACGTATCTGTAGTTTTAGCAACAAATAATATAAACGATCCTCGCTAAACTAGATTAAAAGTGTAGAATACCACAAAAACAATAACAATAATTGTTGCATACTTTTGGGCTACTTTATATGCAAAATCAAAATTCGACGTTGTGATTTCTCCGACAATAGAAAGTAATTTTTGACTATAAATTACCACAAGTCGACTAAGTGGAAGTCGAGTTACGTATCCTTAGCGAATAATTTTCGAGCTATGTCCAATTTTTTCACTTTTGAAAATACAAAAACAAAATGGACACAATTGCATCATATTCTCTGTACCACGTAAAATGCATTTTGTCATCCGCATTCTTAACACTATTCTTATACATGTTATGCCCCCCTTTGCTTGCTTTTCCCTCCCCAGACATTACCACAATTCCATATCCTTAGAAATACATAAGCAGAATGAAAAACACTTTATATTTAGCTACGTGTCAGTGCATCCTTGTCCTTTTTCAAGAATAATAAAGAGTGGGTGAGTGAGTATATATTCCAGTGTATGTGTGTATGTTTGCATTTCATTTGTATTCGTTAGTCTCCGGTTATTATTGTTTTTCATCTACATCTCTTTACAGTAACGAAGTGCCACTAAAACGGGTTGAAACACTCACCTTCAGCAACGCCAGGCGAAAAGAAAATATAATAATAGAGAAAATACTTGGCATGACTGTCAGCGTGAGTTTGCATTCACTCATCATTTCCGGTGTGCATTCTACACAGACCCGACCCGATCCACCCCACCTAACCCTTTATTCCAAGAAACCCCAACATTTTCCAGAACCTTAGCCACGTATACCA